TGAACTCTTGTAACAAAAAGGATTCTCCCAGCTTCAGAAAGCCTACTAAATTTATTAAATACCCAAACTTAATAAGAACATTTTTTCTGAAATTTTTCTTTTTTTTTTATCTTCCAAATACTTTAATCTACTTTCTCTTGTACTCAAAACGCTAATTTTCTAAATATTTTTTTAAAAAAATCTCTTTAAAAACTTGACTTTTTCTGTCTCTAACATAAAAGATATTCGCTCATAGATACTTATACAACCTCTAAAGTTTTTCAGAATATGTATTTCAAGTAATTATGTCCAACTTTCTGACGGAAAATTTTAACTTGTCTAAAACCAGTCACCCCTAATTGACATCTATAAATTTCATATTTGCATACGGTGAATGCTTTTTTTTATATTTTACTTATGTTTCGCTACCTGTTTTTTCATTATACATATTTAATTCTTCAGCCTTAAACATGGACCCAGGATCCAAGTTGACTAATATACTTACTTTATTTATTTTGTTGTAATTGCTGCATCGGTAGATTTTTTCCTTCAAAAATTTTTTATTAGTAATTATGAAAAGCCTGCACAATTGTTTATCATCCCAAGGAAAATTTCTATTCTAACTAAACGTATATGGATTGTATGAAACACTTGGACACTTTTGTAGAATACCAGAGCATTTTGCAGAAAGCCGGTGTTATTCGAAACACACGAAACATAAAACTTTGCCAAAGCTTTATATGCTGTACCAATGTATTCTATAGAATAGCAGGTGCTGTTTAGGCAAAGTATGAAGAATAAGAATTGTTATAAACTTGATTTAGGCATTGGATGTAACACTTGGACATTCTATAGAATGACGAGTGCTCTTTAGGCAAATATGAAAAATTGGCAATATAATGATAAAGCTACTATTTTAAAACAATGTTCTTTCTTCAAATATTATTTTATATAAAAATAAAAAATTAAAAAAAGACTGTCATTAGAGAGTTTTAGATCTGTTTCAAGCAATGCCGGTATTCTTAAAATTTTCTGTTGTATTTCATACTTAGCCAGTTTGTAATTTGGCATTCTACAAAATTTTTAGGTAAGGTATGAAATGTCTAATCTTATTATATTTTGCCGGCTTGCTTTCGGCATGCGATATAGTTCAGAGCTATTCTATAGAATAGCTATTTTTTAACTTTTTTGGTAACAAGGGTGGTGCTTGTAAAGCTGGTTGCAATTCTACAGAACCAGGTGGTGCTTGTAATTCTACAGAATATCTTGACATGGTGCTTGTAATTCTACAGAATGCCTTGACGTTTTATAAAATACATAGCGTTATTAAGTAAAGTATAAAATATAAGTACTAGTGGCAATATATATTCCACTTTTAATTTAAAATCATGAGCGCTTATTAAACAATGAACTACAAATTTTTCAAATACTAAATAAATATGCTTTTAAATTTTTAATTGTTTAACATTTCTAAGTATTCGGTTACAATTTTATAAAAGTCGATTCTTGTTGTAAATGAATCACCAAATACTGTAAAAATTTTATCATATTCCTGTTAATATTCTATTCTTAGGGCATTATATTATTTCTACTGGGTTCTTTTCTTGTAACAAACTATCCCTATTACATTGTGTTCTTATATTTTATTCCAACTACATTTTCTTATACTATTCTATTCTCATAATATTCTATTTCTACTAATATATTCTACTATTATAGCATTTCCTACTGTATTCTTATAATGTATTATTTTTATTGTATTTTCCTATTGCATTCTGTACAATTCCAACCATAAGCTGTTCTATTTTTAATCTACCCATTTTTTATGTTTTTTTTCATAAATAACATAATATGTTATTCCTACTTAATCTTTACAGAATCTTTTATTTTTTATACCATTTCTTCATTCCTATGACATGTCATTCATATAACATTCAATTCCTGCAATATCATGATCTTACTACATACTATTCCTATATTATTCCATACAAAAAAATTCTCATTAAAACTCGAAGACGTATGCAACTTGTAAAAAAAAACAAATACCATATTAAGAATTATATTCAATTAATTTAATCAAATTCAATCCTTTTCATTGCAATTAATTACTTTACATACATTAATTTTTATTTAATTAAACTTAATTATAATTATTTAATGTAATTACATTAATTAGTTTCAATTATATTAAATAAATTCAACCCTATTAATTTAACTCAATTATAATAATTAAAATCAATTGTAACAAATAAAATAAATCAGAACTAAGAGCTTTTTTAACATCAAGCAGGTGTTCTTTTGTCAAGCGCATAGCTCTATTTACCCAGTAAACAACTATAATGAGAAAATAAACAAAACAAAGCCGAATAGTTTGATGACCTTTTTCAGAAGTTAAGATTTATCCGAGATAGGGCACGCTTCTCCACAAATACTCCTTGCTTAAATATCCAAGGGGAAAAAATTCGCATCATTATACACCAAATCCACTCTCTTATTACTACAAATCTTAAGTTGCTCCCATGTTAAAATTTATGAAAAATAAATAAGAGAGGGAAAAGAATGCATCTTTAGTTTTGAAAACTGAGTCCTGTAATAAAATTGAAAAATGTTTTTCGAAATCACGCCTCGCGCTTTTAAAAATATCTAAGCGTTTCGGATATGAGGGTCATTTTTTTTAACTAAAGAGCCATTTTTTAATCGAGTAAGAGAAACTTCATGTATGCACGTAAATTGTAATACGAACATTTATTCACTTTTCATTTTAGTCACCATTATTGAAACATTTCTTAAGAGGACACCTTACTGAGGAAGAAAATTTTTCCTCGCAAGTTCTTTTTATCCGTCATTACTAGTTTAAAATTTAAAAAAAAGAAAAAGTAAGTTCAAGAAAGCCTATAGTAAGTCACGAAGTTTCAATTGCTGAAAACAATACTTCAAAATATTAAGATGTAAATAACTTATTTGAAGAGAACTTATCCTAAGTTATCTTCTCATAATTTATTTTCATCTGTATATTTTAAAATTTTCTTTTCAATATTTGAAGCTACATGACTTACTCTAGGTTTGTCTGAACTCACTTTTTCTACACTTTAAATTTTAAATTAGGAGAAAGAGAATTTGGAAGGAAATTTTCTTCCGCGATAAGGCGTCCTTTTGAGTTGTGACACCAGCTTTTAGATCCCATCATCAAAGAGATCTGCCGCCTGACCAGTAACAGTTTCTTTCAGCATGTCTTCATTTTCCGCGTAGAAATTCCTTAAGTTCTGGAAACAGCTGAAGACTGATGGTGCTATGTCAGAGATGTCTGGTGGATGGTCTAGCATTTCCCATTCATCAATAAGCCATCCAGATCGTTCTTCATTATGAACATTGGTTCTTCCTTCATTAACAAAGTCTAAGCCATTAAGACACATTCATTACACCAGTAAAATTCAACATGCTGTCGGCGAATTTCAGAAGGACTAACTTTTTTTTTTGCATTTAAAAATCGAATAACTGAAAGCACTTTACAATCGGCAGGATTACTGATTGACATGGTGACGAATGAAGCAGTAAAATCATACATCCAACATCAGCAGAGGCGTGAAACATGACAGAGTAGTGAGAGGCTAGCCAAGAGTTGCCGATCTTGATCTGACGTCACTTGAAAGGCTGTGCAGACAAGATGCGCAGTCGGTCCTTGCTTTAAATATATGTATTTGAAAAAACGAAAAAAAAAAATTTTTGGATGGAAATGAGAGATATTATCACATAGTATTACCTAACCGCACTCAACTCAACGTGTAAAACACCCAATAACTTCTAGTATCTATTGTTGGATTTTGTTGAGAGCAAATCAGACTGAAAGTCACGTAGAACAAACTGAAAACTTAACTTTTATTTACATCCAAAAAGAATATAAAAACAATAAGATGTTGCCAGCACAGGAAACTCAAACTATCTAACTAATCTCGAACTCAAACCTCAACATCTATCAACCGCTATATTGATGTCCTAAGATTTAACCATCCCATTTAGTAATAACCATAATAGCTCACTTTTGTAATAACCATAACTATCTTGTAATAAACATTGTAACTTAACTATATACTAATGTTACCATTGTACATTGTCAATACTTATATACTAATGTAACCCTTAACTTATGCTATGTACTTATGTAATGTACCTATGTACTACTCATACTCATGTAACCCCCGCACAGCACTGATTAATTCTCAGAGGTATAGTCCCTCGCCTCAACCAACTTTAGCAATGACCCGCCTTCAAGGTCCATTCATTAAAACTCAACATTATCATATCGTAATGTTAATCCAAGTGATGCAATTTCCCATTTTAACTGCTTTGTATTTTTAATTTATTAATTCCAATTTATTTTCAATGTAACTGTTTTCCATTCCTTTCATTCTTTTTTTCTTTAATAATTTTGTTTTCCGTGAAGTAACTTTTCCTTTCCAGCGAGCTTAAGCAGACGAACTTTAATGAGCCTGCAGGGTTGTAGGATTAACCAGGTACGCAGGACCGCACGCGCGTCTTCTTGGGGACTGTTCTGTGGTTTTCGTGTCCGAGAGGCCTGGGGCCTTCGGACCTCAGAAATGTTGGGGATAATGATTTAACGCAGTGGCCACAAAAAGCGGTAAATCCGCTTCGCGGGTCGGCTGGCCACCTTCGGTGACCAATGTATTTTTATTGTTCAATGTATTTCTAATATTTGTTTCTTTTGTATTAATTTCATAGCATAGTTTTATGCCATGAAACACATCATGGTTCAAAATTTTGGTATCAGATATCAACCTCCATTATTTTGTAACTAAAGTGTTACTCATTCTTTTAAATACATTAGTTTTTCGAGATTCTTGTATAGTTTTATATACACAAATTATAGATTTGATGAATTCTCGTAAAATCTAACTTTTTCAATTATTTAATGATGATGCAAACTATGAAAGCGCGCCGTTTAACTCCATATTGCTGTTTAAAACATGGAAATGTGAATTACTCAATGAACCTTTTTTTTTCAGCCCGCCTTGATGCTACTAAAACGTATATGCGCATGCGTCGTGTGCCTGACCACATAGAAAACAAAGTGATCCGGTGGTTCGACTACCTGTGGGTGACCAAGAAGTGCTCGGACGAAGAGCGGTCCATCGGCTGCCTGCCGGACAGACTAAAAGCAGAGATTGCCATTAACGTCCATCTGGACACCTTGAAGCGGGTCGAGATCTTCCAGAACACAGAGTCCGGCTTCCTCTGCGAACTCGTTCTTAGGTTGAGACACGTCCTCTTCAGTCCGGGAGACTACATCTGCAGGAAGGGTTCGTTACTATTTGATTATTTCATTTTGTTTTTAATGTGACTCAAGAATGCCCCCTTCTATCCTGGGGACTACATTTTAAAAATAACCTTCTATCCCTTCTAGATTTCAAAAGTATCAGTTAATTACATGACACCGGTAGAAGCCTGTCCCTTTCAGTATTGGAGAATACATTTTCAGAAAAGTTCTATTTTCGATTCTTCTTTGATTGCCTTCTATACCTTACAGATTTCAACAACATCTGTTATTAGTGTGATACTTATTCAAGAAGAATGCCTTTTCTATTCTTCTCTGATTGCTTTTCCACCTTTACAGAATTCTGCAGTGTCTGTTTTCATTGTAACCCGTATTCAAGAAGAGACCCTTTTCGATTGTTTTCTGGTTGCTTTTCATCTCCTGCCGATTTCAACATTAACTATTTATATTGTAACACATATTCAAGAAGAGTCCATTTTCAATTCTTCTCTGATTGCTGTCTGTTTACATTGTGATACTGAAACACGTCTCTTCCAGGCTTAAAAACTCGTCTTCAAGAAGTGTTGAGTTTCAATTCTGACAATTCTGTTTTGATTGGCTTTTTTTTTCCTTTACAGTTTATAACAATATCTGCCTAAATGAGATCCAATTTGAAAGCGCGTCCGTTTTAGTCCTAGAGATTACACCTCTTCGAAAAAGAGTTTTTTCTCCTTTTCCATTCATCAGATATTTTAAAAGTATACTTTTGCAATTACACAATCTTAAGTCTTGTTCGAAGTCACATTAACTGCAACCATGTGGCTCAGACTTTTGGCCTGCTGTTCTGGAGAGTAAAGTCAAGAAAGTCACCTGTTTCTTTTTTCTCATCATTAAATAAAAAGATTTTCTTTCAAATGTTGAGACCTCAGTTAATATACAAATGAGTCTCAGTTTCGTTTCCCCCCGGGGGAGAGCTTTCTTTTTCATGTTCTTTTTTTTTTAACTCAAAAACAATGTATCTCAAAAACTATAAGAGATAAGTATTTGAAATTTTGAATGCATACAATTTTATTTAGCACTCTTAGGAAATTGTTAAGCATTTAAGTTTTGATACGTCTTTTTTAAAATAAAATATTAAAAATATTAAAAATGCAAAAATATACAATTAAGAAGTTTTTTTGGAAAATTTCTAAACTCAGAAATGCAAAAAATAAATAAATTATTTATCAAAAAAAATTTTTTTGAAGTTATTAAGTTAAAGAACGGATATTTTTATTGGGAATAAATTAAAACTTCCTAGTATTAAAGCATAATAATTACAACTACATCAAAAATTCGAAACATCAGCTTTTCTTAGCATTTTAATGCCTTTAAAAATATCTTTGAGAAGATTTTTGATCGTCTTTGTAAATAATATTTCAAGCAGTTTTAAAAGAGGAGATTCGGAATACATTTCAAAATAATTTTTGAAAATTTATCCCAAATCTTCTCTGTTAATGTTTTTTTCCTTCTTATACGGGTATACTGCCGTGCAATTCAAAAAACAACGTCAGTGCTTCACGATTGATTCCGAGAAAAGTGGCTTGTCAATAATTTTTCTTCTATTACTAATGCTATGAGAGCTAAAATAGAATTCCAAACAACTAATAAAATAAAATTTACGTTCGAAACAAAAAAAAATTTTTTTTGCAATATTTAACTTACCATGCAAAGATGCCAATATATATAAAAATCTCAATTTTGGAATTTTTCGTCACTTACGTTGATTTTCCGATTGCACGGCAGTATAAACTCTTTTACTAATGTTTTGCACTAAGCAAAGACATAAATATGTTGCAGGTGAGGTGGGTAAGGAGATGTACATAGTAAACTGCGGACGTCTCCAGGTGGTCGCGGATGACGGACGGACGGTTCTGGCGACTCTCAGGGCTGGAAGTTACTTTGGGGAGATAAGCATCCTCAATATGGGAACGGCAGGTAACCGACGGACCGCCTCCGTCCGCTCCCTTGGCTATTCGGACCTCTTCTGCCTCTACAAGAAAGACATGTGGGACGTCCTCAAGGACTACCCGGCTGCAAGGGTCAGGCTCGAATCCATAGCCGTCAAAAGACTACACAAGTACGAGAAAGAACCACTCAGGAAGGGTAAGAATCGAACTCTATTTTGTTTTTGAGTGGTAATGATGTATTAAAATTGGATAAACTCTCGAACACTTCATACTTTTTTTAGATTATGCTATGTTATTCGTTGAACAGCGATGACTCAGTGCACTGCCAATGTTAAGAACTAGGATTCGAACGTTGGTGGCCACTCAAAAGTCATTTAGCTTCAGATAACTGAATATCAGCCGGTGTTCGATGTTGATAAGATTACCTGCAGCTCGCCGTTAGTCATGCAGTTGTCGATCCTTACTTTTATGAGCTCCCTGACCAAAAACGGGCTGTGGGGGGGGGGATACTTTAGTCATTAGTAATATTCTACCGTCTTAATACAGGATGCCTACTAAAATCAGTACTCGTTACTTTAATATTAAACGGTTTTATAGATATGGTATCAAGCAAATTAAGTGGCTAACGAAACATAATGAGATTTCTGCAGCTCCGCCTGTTTAAACATTAAAGTATGTTCATGTTTCTACCTCAATACCTCAAAAGTGGTGCGAAATTGAAGAAAAAGTTAATTATAAACTCCGAGAGTATCATCGATTTGTTTTGCATAAACACATTTTGGACAAAATTACTCAGAAAATAAGATTAAAAACTCTCATTTCGCGATGTCAACACTTTGATGAGACGAAGGGATCCAAGAAGGAAAAAAATCTAATATATAATCCCTTTGGACTTCATTTTGGAATTTCAAATTTCTCTTAAACTGTGAAACGAACACTAAGTCAACCGTTTTCCACCAGGTAGAGCTGTAAGTGCTTTGATTTTTTTCCTTTGCGCATAGCCTGTTTACTACACCTAAACACCACTTTTACAACTATAGTTATAGCGGTTCGGAAGCTTAGAGAGAGGGAGTCTCATGCGGAGAAAAAAGCGAAGACTGATTTAATAAAAACAAATGGTGTTCCACAATGACCACAATTAGTTTCTTCAGTTTCCTTAGTTAATTTAATTATTCGTTTTTTTATGAAAAAATTAAATCTGAGCAATATTCACGTTAAGGTTTTTAAATTAATGTTTAAGTGAGAGAAATAAAATGTTATCAAGCACTGGCGAATCGAAATCTGCTTCAATAGGAGTTTTTAAAATTTTAAAAAAAATTGTCGATTTTTCGAGTGAGATTCATATTTATTGCCTTTTCACTCAATTCCATCTTACAGTATCTATTTAACTGATTTCAGATTCTTTTTTACATCCCCTTTGCTATGATTGCTCATATTTGAGTCTTTAATCACTCGTTCAAAATTTGCATGAATATTTTTAGAACTTTTTTGACAGGAAAAGAAAAAATATTTTTGTCTGTTTTAACACCACTTTTACTCTGATTGGCCTCAAATAAAACTTTGCTTATACTTCAGCTTTTATCGCTTGTTCATAATTTGGAGTCACCTACATGAATAATATTAGACCGTTTTTTTAATGTTTCGAGAACTCTAGAACGCTATATCTTCAATTATGGCTTATAAATTCATGCATAATATCATGTACTGGTGTTGCTGTTTCGAGATCCATGCGTCTCTGACGGTTGAAAAAAACACATTAAGTTGGTCATATTTATAGAAGATGTAGAAAGTATCCTAAAGTTCACTTCATTTCTGTGGTTTTGGGTTAGATGAAATCTAAGTCAAACACATAGTATAGTGACTACTAAATAGCTGTGTATAACAAACAAAAATTTTGCTTCCGTGGTGAAGTTCCTATTAAGCCAACGACAGCTCTTTGAGGCTTAGCATACTCTTTCGAAGAGACGGCAAAAGCGTTGTTGCATAGACAAGTTTACTGTTGGTTCAATTCTCAGCGATGGCGCTCCACATTTCCCTCCCACAGTTTAAATAAATATGGGTAAATTCGATCACATAGATGGCTCGCATACAGTGTCTTCCATTACGTTCATCTTTAGTATTTTCAGAAATATATTTTATTTACTTGATGAAATGGAAAACAAAAAAAAGTGCAGAGATTAGTGGGTCACTCATCTATATTTAAGCGAGGATAAAACAAAAACACTTTCGAAATGTAACGTGTCGCAATGAGGTAAGGTGGATATATAGAACAACAAAGCCTGTCTGATTGTTGGTTGAAGATTGAAGGTATTTATAATAATTGTCTTCCGCTTCCTCCTATTTGCATTGGCGAAATAAGTACTGTAAAAAAATTTAGAGTATCGTAACACCAAGAATGATGGCAAATACTTTATACGAAAAGTTGTGTAGGAAAATCCAGAGTTAATTCTTGGTTTAGTTATATTTCAAAGATGATTCTAGAAAGAATTAGAAATGATCCTATACACTGCTTTTGGCGAAAAGTAATTGATATTCAGTAACACTGAGACTTATAATAACATACACATAAGAGACTGTAAAGTTATCTTTTATGGTATAATTAAAATTATAAGTAGGAACAGTTAGTACACCCAAACTTATTTTTAATGTAAAATATCATAGCTTGTAAATCAAACATACCAAGAAGATACACGAATTCGAATTTGCCTTATCAGAGCAGAAGGAGATAGAAATTAAGTATTGTGAAAAAAATTTAATACAATTGAATAATTAAAATACAATTATCTTTATTTCTCTACTAAAAAATTGCATGCATTTTATAGCTGCGAACTTCTGTTTTGTTATATGTATAGCAGCGTGTAAGACAACAATAAAGTCACGCCATTTCGTATTCGATTGTTAAAAATCTCCAATCCAAGATATCCAAAGTACGCCAAAAGTAGCAATTTTGGAAGAGAAACAAATTCCTGAATGGTTTGAGTGCACCTGAGCTATCCATATGCTTTTTACATGATTGGTGTTTTTCCATTTCCCCCACCCTTTAAAGTATGTACGAACGCTCTTATCGGGGATAACTTAAAGTAAAGTGTTTTTTTTACAATCTTTTTGGTTGTTCAACATCAAATTCGAAGAAATATGACGCAGTTGATTTCGCAGTGCAGTTTTTGTGTTTCATACGCCCATTTTTTTATTTGTGTTCTATTAGATTTCGGAAGAAAAAAATTTTACCTAATAATTAATAGTTTAAGTTCCAACTTCAGTATACTTTTTCCCTTCGCATTTACAAGAAATCTAAAAGTGTATTTTATAGCCAATCCTTAAGTAGCACCCTGAATATATTTTCAAATTCATTTGCTTTCTATACTATCGTTGGATTTTTTCCCCCTCTAACTTATAGAAAAAAAAATTGCAAAAGGATGCGCAGTTCTACCTGTTAATAAATATATATTTCTTTTTACAGTTGCTATGGGCCGTTGTCGAAGCACACCGGGTCTAGTAGAGTCCAAAGGCAAGATCAGACTTGAGGATATGGTGGTTGGACACAGGTCAGCGATGGCGGATCCCAACTCCTCAGCAGCTACTCTCTTCGACGACATCGGAGTGAATCCATCCTCGCTGCACGATCTCGAGCACAGGAGTACATCGAGCAGCACGACACATTACGGGGATTACAACAATGGCATACCACTCGAGACTTTGCCATTCTCACTCTCTCATCAGGTATCTCAAGAAAACCATCACCAACGAGTGCCAAGAAGACTATCGACGGGTCCCACCATGGGATTAACAACCACCGCCAACATCCAGAGACCCATGGCGCCAAAAGCCAGTGACCTGAAGCCAACGTCTTCGTATGTATCTCTCACTGGATCTGTCACTCGACCTGTTTCGCCTTACCAGAACCCAGCTGATAGTCCGTTCCTACTAGACCAAGCTGTTGGTCAGTTCCCTTTTGGGAACAGGACACTAACAGACCATTCTCAAGAAGATTTGTTGGCTGAAATTAGGAGACTACGAGAGAGAGTGGTGACTCTAGAATCAGATAATGCCACGATGAGCTTAAAGCTCAGTCAGAACAAATGGGAAATGCAGAACAGGTTGGCGGATTTGGAACTCCACATCTGCAATCCACAGGTGATGGGGATTCCACCACCTCCGAGTTCTGTAGGCCTCAGTTCCAATGGTAGTGATATCATGGATGAAAGTGAAAGGAACAGAGAATCAATCATTTAAAATGCCTTGTTGCCAACTACATGTTTGGAATGAAGAATCCAAAATGTTCATGAAAAAAAAACTAAATTGCGATTCTTACCAATCGTATCATTTGATAAAAAAACCATATTATTTAACATGCTTTTTTTTCATTTTTTATTCTTCACAAAAATATAACTTAATATTCTTTATAGAATTTTGGGTGTCGTGTTCAAAAATTGTGTATGGTACTTGTGAGGAAACGTAATTTGCAACTACTGGTTGAATTAACTATTGATCGATAACACCAGGACTAAATTATATAAATCATTGGTTTTTAATGAATTTACTAATCCACTATTTTATTTCCTCCTTTGCTACTACGCAAATCATACGTAATTTTAGAAAACCAAAAAAAAAATGAAAGAAGTTGAAATATTGCTGTTTTTTTGCAACAAATTTAAAAACATTAATTTTTTTGTCGGATATTTTTTTTCAGGTAAAATCACGTTTATATCATGTCAGGGGTTAAGAGTATATTTTCCTAAAAACATTGTAAATAAATTATTATTTTTACGTAAAAGACTTATATTTATTCAATGTCTTAAATTATTAAGAGGCATTAAGAAGTTATGCTCTATGAGATCACACACGAATTTTGATCAAAAGTTTTAAAAATCGTTAGAAAATTTGAGTTTAATATAAAGTTTTAAGACTTGAATGCTGAAAACAAAAATAATACCCCATCAGTTAACAAAAAATTAGCAATCATATTCCCCATATAGCTCACTATACCATACTCACTCTGGTATTTGTGTCATATGTTCCTTATATATGTACCAACATGCATCGTTAAAATTTTTAACGTAAAAATTTTAAAGAAATTACAAATTATTAACGAAGCATTCTCTCAAATAGTTATTCATTTGTGCAAACTGTAAGTGCTAAAAACAAAATTTAAAAAAATTTTGAACTTTTTTTTTATGTTTAACACCTAAAATTCTACAAAGAAAGTTATTTGATCACGTAAAATTTTGAAAAATTTTTGAAGGTCTCATAGTTATGCATACATAATTACTATGCAAGAGATATGCATAAATAAGAAATACGCAAAGATATGCAAAATATAAGCAAATATAAAGAACATTATGCAAGGAAAAACGTATATAAATCTACGAAAAACTTCAAAAAAATATTTATAAAATTACATATTTTTCTACAATGAGAAATTAAACTATCTACATAGTTTCAAATACTATTACTTTCTAGTACAAATACTATTACGTAGTAGTCAATACTATTACTCAATAGTACAGTAATACTATTACTTAATAGTATTACTTAATATTACAATAAATAATAAATCTAAAATTTATTATTTTATCATTATGAACTGACATAAGTCAACAGGAAAATATAACTCAGTTTTCCCAAAAATGTTTGTGACAGCAAATTTTAAATATTGCGGATTAACTCTTCAACGACGCATTACAAATTAATTGAAAAGCATATATCTGTAGCTTATATGAGCAGTATTATGTTCAGAATGAGAAAGTAAATGGATGAAGTTTTTCAGCTTGAGTTTAAATGGAAAATTGAAAATTATTGCAAGTCAAAATCTGAGAGTTTTTTACCTCCAACAATTCATTCAATTATATCTTTAACTCTATCAGTACTTACATATGTTTATAAATATAAACTGACAATAAATAGTAGTTCGAAAAGTTAGTAAATTAAGACGATATCACAAAAGCAATAAGGACATGAATTTTTAAACCAAAACTCACTGGTGTAAATAATTTTAAATATGAAATTGTGGTGCAATCACAATCATTTGAATAATTAAAAAGAAAAACCTTTTATTACTTTTACGCTAGTATGAATCATAAAGTTGGAAGCAAGTTATACATCATGAACGCTTAACCCGTCAGAAAGCTCAAGAATTGCAGAATCAAGATAAATAAAGAAAAATATCTCTACATCAATTAATAATTTTTAAGTAAAAAAAATCCAGAAATTTTAATATCTGCACAGGTTTATTAATTCAAAACTATTTGCTCTTTGTAAAAATATTTTACTTCTTAAAATATTAAATAGTACTTAATAAGCATCAAGTATATAAAATACAAATATTTATTTTATTTGTAAAAAAATTATAGCGTATATCTGGTTTTTTTTAACTTACAGAAAAACGGAATAAATTTTAAAAAATATGAATAAATTATTTATTATACAGAGAATGGCTAAAAATTATCATTTTTTTCATTTAATACTTATTATATATTATAAGCATTCCTTTTATTTAATACATTTTTATTTAGTAGCATTAACATTATTAGTTAAAATTTTGCCTAATGTTTATCACGCATATAACTCAGTTTTGATAGTTCATTTTTATGAATTTATTTTCATAGTTACTAATCAAGATATCCCGAAAAAAATAAAGATGTAAATTTTGAAGAATTTTAATTTCATAAAAAAAATCATTATAAATGCAAATTCAAAACCAAAGAATGCAACAGAATATGTAGAAAACAACACATTGCTAATGAAAAGTATAATTGATGAGTTTAATTTTAAATTTCAATTGTATTTGCCTATTAAAAGTGTTTCGTTAAAAATTTATTACATCATTATAAATATTCCATGAAAAAACTCTATTTAATAAGTTAAATTTTTATTATCTCGTAATAAAATGAAGTAGGAGATTTGAAATTCAAAACAGCTAACAATTGAAACAGAATAACGCATTAACCATTTTAACCACACCGGTGATTCTTTTACATCTATTTTCCTGGTACTCTATTCGAAAGCAAATATATATTTTGATAATTTGTGATTATGAAAATCAGTCTAACAGTTAATAAAAAATCTGTTAGATTTATCGGAATTATATTTATTCTAAATTATAAAATACGCAAAAAGTAGTTTGAAATAGTTAAATATTTTTTTTTCATTCCTATTCAAAGATTTATCAATGATTGATTTTAAAAATTAAAAAAAATTCATTGATGCATAACTGTTTCTCTTTGATCAAAACAGCTACAAATAAGTGCAAATTTGAAAACTTATTGTTTGAAAGCAAACCGTGATTAGACGGTTTTACTTTTGGCGTAGAAAAAAGAGCTGTGTCAAATGCTGTACTTCAGAACCATCATAAATTATTAAATTGCTAAATATAATAGTTTTCCCTTATTTTTACCTTCTGTGTTTCTGCTGTGTTTTTCTGCCACTGAACTTCTGGTACACAATTTGGTATCACTGAAGAGATGAAAATTCTATGCTAAATTTGAACTATTGCGTCGAAATACAAATAATGTCGAAAAACTTTATTTATTTATTTATTCTTTTTTCATTTTCTTTAATATGTTCAAGCAACAAAATTTTGCTATCTTATTTTTTCAAAACACTTTTGCACTTTGAAAGTGGGAGGGAGAAAAAAATTTAAACCCCTGTATGTATACTTATCCAGTTATGATTAAAAAAATTTTTTATCTAAGAGGCTAAATTAATACAATATAATGAAAAAAGTATGAAATATATGCATAATATAAATTCTGCGTCAAAAGGTTAACAGATGAAACTAAGATATGCAATATTGTAATATGCAGATAATATGTTTCTTTTTTTTTTCCTATGCGAATCATTGTAAGATGTTTAAACCATTATAAGATTATGATTTTGATTCTTATGAATCAATGTAACGTAAAATGCGAGTGGAATTTTGGATTTATTTGAAATTCATTACAATACAGTGTGACTGGAAATTATCTTTCATATTTCGATGAAGAAAAACTTTAATATGCTACATATGCTTAAGTAATAAATAAAGGTTTTGGGTGTGAAAAAAAACTGCACGCTATTTACTTGCAAGCACTGAGTTTCTGTTGTGTTTCTCTTTTCACTGAATTTCTGAATTCTGTTACTGAACTTCTGTCACATAATTTGGTAAATAAAATCACTGAAGAGATAAAATTCTATGCTAAATTCGAACTATTGCGTCGAAATAAAAATAATAATTATTTATTTACTTATTATTCATTTACGATTTATTCAATTATTTATTTATTTATTTACTTATTTTTTATATATACAGACAACAGAAGTTTGCTATCTTATTTTTTCATGCACTTTTGCACTCTGAAAACTGGAAAAAGTTTTTAAACATCCCATATATATATATTTATCCAGGCATGTTTAAATGTTTCATCTAAGAGACTTTCAGTCATAGAACAATAAGAAAATATATTAAAAGACTATATGTTACAATAAACTAAGAGAAAGTATAAATTTACAGTAATAAGTTAAAACATAGAAGAGAAAAAAATATTTCTATTTGTATAAATTTTGATCATTGGGTTCAAATTATTTTTATTTTCTTAGAATAGAATTTTAAAAAATCTCTAAAAATGAGCATCAACAATAGTTCGATCATAAAACTAGGCATTGATTAAACCATTTAAACTCTTCTAAATATATTTCATTGTCGTATAACCATTTTCTAATTTTTGATTTATACACCATTAAATAGCAATTTCTTCTCTTATAAGGTATTATTTTTTTCGCCATCTTTATTTAACTTTGTTATTATGATATTATTTATAGTTATTCAAAATATTATTATTTCATTTAATTCTTTATACGTATCTTGTTATAAAAGGTATTCTCAAAGCATTTTTTTTTGCTTTACTTTTTTAGAATTTTCAAAATAAAATCACAGAGAACATATTAAAGATTTTAAATCAATATTTAAACGAGAAAAAAAAATACTTCAAAATATGCCGAGTCATTATCGAGGTCAATTATTGTAAAAATGAAGTTAAAATCATAAAATTCTTTTTTTAAAAAGGATTAAAGTGGTATCCTTAACGCCAGTTCATCGGAGAATTTATTATCAAACAATGACATACTATAAGGTGGATTAAATTTAAGAAATATGTTTTTATTGATGGATTGGCGTTTTCATTGGTGGTAAATTTGTGGATTAATTTTTTTTAAATCCTTATTTTGCTATCAATTATTTTTCCGTGAATTATAAATCATTTTGACCAAATTTACAAATATTTAGTATAAACAGTGTTTTGAGAATTATCTATGTATTTTTTTCATACATATGATCTATGTACTTTTCATGCAATTGTATATTTATGTTTACATATATTTAATTTCATTTTAAAATAACTATTTTCAGTTCTTTATTTAAGGGTTTGATAATAAGATAAACATGATATTCCAAGATTATTTACGTTTCTTAATTAGCAAATTTTGTTTCAATTTTTCAAGTAAAACTGACAATTGAATTTCGTGATATTTACATAACCATTGATTTTCATCCATTATTTTTTATATTTATATAATTTAATTTACTATGTATTGCTGCTTTACATTTTACGAGTAAAGCTTATAATTAAATTTCAGGTAATGAAAATGCAAAATGTAAATAATATGGAACCAATTTTTCAGAAGAAATCTTATTCATATTTTGATACAATTTTTAACAGAAACTATGATATGCAAGCCATAAAACTTTTCTTATTTTTAATATTTACGTCCATACTAAAGCATTCTGATATTTGTAAGTGTGCCAAATACTCCCCCGTCTTAAAACTAAACATGAATTTGTTATTTTGTTACAGTTTATAAGTTGTAAATATGTTGAATACGAAATTTTGTTTCTTGTAATATTGTTTTGTTGTACAGCATCGATTTTCTGTACAACTATTCTCTCAATGGAATTATTCATATTCCGATATATTAACAAAACAAAACTATTTGTATAATACTTTGTACATGCCATTTGATAATATAGGAGAATCAATTTTAGAAAATATTCAATGTAAAAATATTGTAATTTTTTAATGTTATTCATGTTATTCATATTTTATATATATTTAGTTGAAAAGAGTTGGCAACACTGGCTAATTTGGTGGTGAACATGTTGCAGGCTTTAGTTATCATTCTCACAAACCAATCTGGTGTTAAAGTACTTTTTTTCTTTTGTAAAGGAAAGCAAATAAAATTTTACCAAATTCTTTATTGATAAATCTATTAATATTACATATTTGTTTAGATCCACTAATATTGCTATTATTCAAAAGATGAATTCCTTCAATACAATTAGATTGTTTCTAAAGTAATACTGCCATACAATTGAAAATTAACGTAAGCGACGAAAACTTCAAAATTGAGATTTTTATATATTTGTTATCTTTGATTGGTAAGCTACGTATTGCAAAGTTTGTTTTTTCAAACATAAATTTTGTTTTATCAGCTTTTTGAAATTCTATTTCTGCTTTCATAGCATTAGCAATCGAAGAAAAATAGTTGTTAAATCACTTTTCTCGGAATCAATTATGAAGTACTTATGGTGTTTGTTTTTTTAAATTTCATGACAGAATAGTGGTATATTATATGTAAATAAAAATATATTTGAGAGCATAAATTGTGCTTAATTATAATTGGAAATACTTCCTGAAATGGCAAAAGAGGACTTATAAGAATCCACGCATGTAAATTCAGTTCTTTAACCATCAAATTTTTTTTAATAAAAAATTGTAACTCAAACATTTACATAATTGCAACATTTTGAAATAGAAAGTACTTTAAATACATTTTACTATATTTTAACAATTTTACTTTAAAATAATTAAGCTCTTAAGTTCATAATAAGCTTTTAAGTTCATCGACCGATATAGAATTAATCTATACTGCAGAATCTTTTTTTTTCCTTTTGTAGAAAAATGTAATAGTTATCGATGTAAAATGACAAAAAAATTTTATTAAATTTGCAAAATTTAATTACAATATAATTATGAACTGTGTAAAATAAAAATTGGAAAGATATTCCAATATTTGTGAAAAACATTAATTGTCGGAAATAATAATCAATAATAAAATTATTTGGTTTGTTTTGAACGATAACTTTAGCCCAAAACAAATGAAACGATGTGTAAAAGAAAGACAGGGAAGGAAGCAAAAGAAATGCAATTTAAAATCATAGAAGTCTAACTCAATTTTTACTTGTACAATGTGAGTTTCAA